AATTTAAACCTGATCTTTCAAGTAAAGACTTGCTAAATTTATATAATATAAACTCCAAACAATATGATGTATACAAATGCTTTATGTGCTAGGTACACATAATGCAATGTGCATCTCATCTAATTGCAGAACAACCGGCACATGGTGTTCACCCAGCTTTCATTTGTCTAATCACATGTTAACAATATGTGTTACAAGCTGACACCTTATTTAAAAGCTTTCATTTCCTTTATTGCTTGCCAACAATAGAGCTACTACATTAGCTAAATCCTCCCTAAATTCTCAGCCTCTCTTTGGATGTGTTATCGTTATTTTGGCCCCCTCTTCTGTCAAGTAAACACACTGGTTCCTGGTCTTCTTTCCTTCTATTTATGTTCTCTCTACAGGAGACTGAAAAGGTATCCAAGAGCTGGCTGGCTTATACAGAGGTCAGTACATTCAGTAAGTTTGAACAGAGGAAGTGCCAAAGGATACACTTCTAAAGACTCTTAAATTATGTTTATTTTAACTTGACTACAGGAACAGTAGAAAGAAAGTCCAGAAAATGTGGCAAAATGTGGCAATAAATGCCCAATACACAGGCCCAATGGATAGTTGAAGTTGAAGAAATGTTCTTAATGGAAAATGTGACACATATTGAACCTGTAGGAAACTAAGCTGGAGTAAAATGGTTTAAATTGACATTAAGACTCAAACAGAAACACTGACAAAGACAGGATGCATTTCCCAATTGTTTATGTTTAAGTATGTTGAAGTCAATAAAAATGAAAGAAAGAGTTCTGATTAATTGATTTCCAATCCAAGTCAGATTTGGCATTCATTTCCTATGTTGTAATGTTAAGACAGCAACCAATGGACCGGACTCCAGATGAAGAATGAGTAAAGTAGTTCAGTTTAAATATAAACCTATTTCATGTGCCGTCTGAAAGAGAAACATCATATTCTAAACAACCGGAGAGTCATAACATAACATTTAGTTAAAAATGTAAATTATGTATTTGTTTAATGTGAGGAAGCACACGTGGCAGCTGGATGCACTCTCTATGACAGCACTAAGACATTTTTATTTTCAAGCTCATTTATTCAGATAATTTCCAAATTGAAGACAGCTGTTACTTTCAGTTCTCGAAAAATACGAGACTTAGTGTATTGATCTATCTTAAAATAGCAAAATGGTTCTAGGAAAAAGAAAACGGATGAAAAACATGCAAAAACACCTTTGAATACTTTACAGACAGATTAATAATGGTTCACAAATATGTTCATTCCAGTATTGCATTAATGAAACAAAATACAGACACACATTGTATAAAAAGACAATGCTAAACAGGAAATCTACAAAAATCACTTGTTTTAGACAAACTAACTTCTTGCAGTTACTGAGTTCATTATTTGGGTTAATTGTACAGTCATCTCCACTGGCTCCAACAAACTGTCATGTGATAACCAAACTTGAGGCTTCAAAATGGTACTCCACAAACCAGTGGGTGACATAATGATAGATTCACACTTCAATCTCAGTAACTCCTTACGGAGTAGAAAATTATACAGTAAGATGTGTTGACTCAAAATTTACCGTTACAGTTGAAAAACTGTGGCCTGAACTGGATCAAACCTTAAAATTTTATCTGGGCAAAGACAAATACATTTTCCTTGCAAGTGAGAAAGTGGGTCTACTTAGGCTACTGACGCACTCTATGAGATTGTTTCCACGTGGCTGACTTTTTCCACATGTAGCCATAAAACTATGCATAAACACTTTAGAAATGAACTGTCAATTAAAGAGATTAAAACAAATACTGCCAAAGCCAAGTAGCACATTTATGCACACTGCAGCTTTTTACATTCACCCTTAAAGTTTATTCTGTCTATTCTATTCTATTCTATTCTATTCTATTCTATTCTAATTAGGAACCAAGCTTTTGGATCCCCACATAGCTAGTTCCTAGCAACTAAACTAAAATTAAACTTAAAGAAATAAGAGACAAGAACAGGGAGTAAAAATATTAGCAGAAAAAGCGTGAGTTTGTTCATCTATTTAGTCTATCCAGTGGCGGTTCTATCTTGAATGACATCCTGTGCGAGACCCCCTTCGAGCGCCACCGCCCTCTGCAATTACAACAAAAAAATGTTTTTATTATAACAACATAAGTGAAGCAGAGAATTATATTTCTCGATTGCACAAATCCTTCATCAGAACAATTGGATTTAACTATTGCACTTGGAACAGGAAACACACTTTTTAAGGTGCACAATCTCCACCTCCAACATTGCCAAAAGACAATGAACACAGTTTCACCTTATAAATGTTATCCAGTTCATAGCTTACCCCCTCTCTCCAACCTGCAGATCTTATTACACATTGTAATCAGTAATACAGCTATACCATGTATACTACATGAATATGTAGCTAATGTCAGTTGTGTCTGTAGCTAATGTCAGTTGTGTCTGTATTCATAATTGTTACTCTTTTGGAATGGCGGCCAGTGGTGGAACTAAGTACATTTACTCAAGTATAATGTACTTGAGTGCAGTTCTGAGGCACTATATCACTTAGTGTTTTGGCTACCCTGTAGCTAACAGAGTAAGATTCCAATAATTAAATAATCACACAATCAGGAGTTGCCGAACAGTAAATACATTTATTTTTAAACAATGAAAAAAGAAAAAAATGTCGAAGAAGAGAAGCTGCCTAAACTAGCCCGGATAGGGCCGTAGAATCAGTGCCTCTTCTCTCTACCATAAACCTTAACCTTAAAGAAACTAAACCAGAAGCCCTGAAAACTTCATTACAAAACAAAGAAACTGGGGCACCTTGGTAGCTTACTTGAAAGAGCTGGCACCCCATGTACCAAGGCTAAGTCCTTGCTGCAGCAAACCGTGGCTGTGTGCCATTCACTCTCTCTCTCTCCCTTTCCTGTCAATCTTTAGCTATCTTATGTAATAAAGGCAAAAAAGCCCATATATATACATATATATACATATATATGGTGAGGCTGGAAGTGGAACAGAGAGACAAAGCAAAATAGATAGATAAAAGATATTACACCAATAATAGGTCATCCTGAAAAAAACAACAGAAAAACAATACTAAATTCCCACTAGGAAGCACATTATCAGCAATCCCAACACAGAGAACACATAAGAGACATAAATAATCAGAACAAGAATTTACCAACCAAAGATGCAGTACTAATGCTGGCTACAGTGTCCCACTCAGTCACTACAGACCTGATTGTCCTTCATCTATGTTTCACACTACATTACATTTTTTGAAAAGTACTAGACACAGTGCTACTTAAGAATTCTATCCCGGCTTTCTAACTGAGAAGCAGCGCTGTTTTTAAATAAAATTTAACGTAACAGCCCCCTCTGGAGGAAGCTCTTTTTAACCATGAGCCAGGTCTACATGGTGTTACAAACTGATGATGCTGTTTTTTTATCCATGACTTTCAATGCTTGCTTATTCAGACTCTGAAGTGCTTAATAATAATGTACTATTATTATTTATTTATTATTATATGTCTAAGATCAGGTTGCACTACATTATGCAAAATGTACCATAACATTTGCATGGGTGTACATTTTGCTGCATCTGTACTCATTTTATTTCTTATGTTGATTATTGGATTGGTGTTGGGTACGGTGCTTTTAAATCTAAAGTGAGCAAGGTTATACCCTGTTTTGTCCATTTACAATGATTTCAGGAGGAGGGGAATTGCCTCCTCTGATGGAAAAAAATCATACCAACTGTTTTGAACAAATTCAATGTCAAGCATGAATAAGTAATTCATTCTGCTATTTTGTCCATAGCCTGTGTTAGTAACGATGCAGCTTACTGTTTTAATATAGCATTAACATAAATGAAATGACTGTATTGTCTGCATAGATTTGAATATTGAATATACTGAACCTTTAAAAGACTACAATTTAGGGCCCCCGGTTAGCTCAGTGGGTATAGCTGGCGACCCATGTACCAAGGCTTTGAGTCGCTTTGCTGCAGCGGCCGAGCGGTTCTGAATCCGACCTGCGGCCTTTGCTGTGTGTCCATCCCCCTCTCTCTCTGCCCCCTTCTCCTTGTGCTGTCTCCAGCTGTCCTATCAAATAAAGGCAAAGACTTACCAAAAAAAAAGACTGCAATTTAATTTTTACCCTGTGTCAGTATATCATTAATCTTAATTTTAACACTTCTGACATTTATTTTCCTTCCAAGAGAGGTTTTTAATGTGCTTCCACAGTTAGATAAAAAAGTTGGCTTTAGCCTTCCTAAGTTAATTGACAACTCTGTTGCAGTGGTCTTTGAAGAGACTAACATTGGTATCAAGGTCAGATTTCAATGCCTTTTTAAGCATAGTCTCTTTTAAGTCTCTTTTCTTCATCAAAGTTGAGGTATGTTCTGTCTTCCAAATAGGATTGCCTTTTTGTGTCATTATTTCTTGATTAATTTGTCCATAGCAATATTAACACAATAAAAGTCCTACAAAAGACATACATTTCTTCGATGCTAGCTGAACTATCCCAAGCTGAATCTTTTAGTCCAGTATCCAATTTGGCTAGACTTTTCTTTGGTATTCTTTTTTCAATAACTCTTGTGTCTGTCTTGTCTAAAAGTGAACCTTTTCTTAATTAGGATGTAAAATCCCTGTAATATAATTAAAATAATTGATGATTCTCTCTCGTTGATTGAAAAATACAAGATCAATTTGGGTTGGTCAATTTATCATCTGAGAAAAACCACATAGGCCAGTGATTTTTTTTTTCTGTTTTTCTTATCGCCCCAATTTACATTAAAATCCCCTAAAGCCCATAACTCTTTAATTCCTTTAAAATTACATGAATAGGTATGAAAAGTAACTTCCGCAGACAGATGTTGATAAATGTCAATACATTATATTTGATGTGATACAGTTACAGTGCCAAACATTCTATTTTTGTCTCCAATCATTTATATCTCTATGTTGACACTTTAAGTGGTCTTTTACATAAATAAGTAACACTCCTCCTTTTACTTCATTTATTTATTTTCTACATATTCTGTAACCTGGGAAAAACAAAAATGTTTGTGGTTTCAGACAGAAAATGAAAGTCTAGGTTTGAGTTCCCACACACTAATTGATAATATTGTTATGTTGGCAGTGGGTCAATAGTTAAGTAATAGTTTTATCCACGATAATCAATGTGACACTGTGACAAGTGGAAACCTAAAGGTTTTGATAAATATCCTCATTTCCCCCATAAATGTCCACTTCTTGTTCAGTAAATGGCTGGGTTGCATTCTCATAGTCATTGTCATCATCACTGGTTTCTTCTTCATCTACTTGTTCCTCTCTGTTGTGTTCCATATTAACAGAAACCTCTACAGCCACTATATAATCGTCTTCAATCTGCGCTTCCTCATAATCATGATCATCACCATCTTCGTCTTCGTCTCCTTCTGCTTGTCCAGTCTGTATCTGGTTGGTGTCCACTGGCTCAACGTTCACATAGTCCCCCTCCTCCTCCTCACTCTCCTCATTGTCCTCTTCATACTTGTTCCTGACCGTCACTGAAACACAAGCATCAGAAGAAATTTGACACACCAAAATAACAAACATTTAGATAAGTGTATCTTTAAAATATTAAAAACAAACAACAACTAGTCTGATAATGTCATGTCATGTGTGTCCTGGTGAGCACAGACATTGAGTTTGGACGACGCCTCCAGACTGCTTTGATTGTCGCCTTCTCCTGAGGACCAAACAGACCACCACCAAGACCAGCGGGAGCAGCAGCAGGATCCCAGCAACTACTGAGGAGACCAGCAGCAACAAAGGAACTAGGAAAAAGAAATATTTGACAGCTTATCCTTAATAATATCCATAGTTTCATCATGCTTTGGCTGGTGCTAAGAGGAAGTGCCATGGAGTAGATGCAGTGAGCTGTATCATGGAAAGTCCTGAACCCCAAGAGCTGAACGTAAATGGCAGAGCTGACTGTGTAAGTGTAAAAAGGAAAATGGTGAGTTCTGTAAACGGGTGGAGAACTGCAGACTGTGTCTATGCATGTAGGTGTGAAAGGAGAAATAAGGGAGGAAAAATAATGGGATTAGCACAATGTGATTAGTTGAAGTCCTTATTCGTAGTGTGACAGCTCAGAAAAATCTCTAAAGATCTAAAAAACGTTTTGCAGTTTGAAACACCACCAGTGTACAAAGGCCTTTAGACTGAAGGAACTGTTCTCATATGACAACAACATATGAGAGTTCCCTGATCACAGTTAAAGGACAATTCCGGCGC